GGGTAGGGTGGGGAAGACGGCGAGGAGGGGGCGGCGGCGGCGGCGGCGGCGGCGGCGCGCGCGCGGCGCGCGCGACGGGGGGGCGGAGCAGCGACCGCTGGCGCGGTCGCTGCTCCGTCTGTGACAGACGCGCGCTCTGCCGCTGTAGAGCGCGCGCGTCAGGGGCAAGGGGCATGCGTGGCGGCGCGGGACGCGTGGCGGCGGCGGCGAGCCGCCGAGCGCTCCGTGAGCGGTGAGGCGGCCGGGCGAGGGCGCGGCGGGTGACGGGTCAAGGGAGCAGCCCACACCCGGCGTCGCTTTTTGAGCGACGCCTGTGGTACGCCTGCGCAGGGGCCGCAGGGCGGTCAGTTGTGGGGCGAGGCGGTGCCGGCCGCGGGCCGGGTGCAAGGCGCCGGCCTCGGCGCCGCCTCGGCGCGCCGCACCCGTGACGGGTCAAGGGAGCAGCCCACACCCGGCGTCGCTTTTTGAGCGACGCCTGTGGTACGCCTGCGCAGGGGCCGCAGGGCGGTCAGTTGTGGGGCGAGGCGGTGCCGGCCGCGGGCCGGGTGCAAGGCGCCGGCCTCGGCGCCGCCTCGGCGCGCCGCACGGGCGCGGCGAGCCTCTGAGCGGGAGCCGAAGGTTTGCCTGTGGGAGGGAGGTGGGAGGTACGGTGGTGGGGGTGATTTGACTTTGCCGCAGAGGCCGTCCCTAGCTGTGAACAGCAAAACGGGACAGTATCTCTCTCGTCTCGACGCACTCATCAGACACACACAGATCACAGTCGTTTGTGCCGCGTCCCGTGCCCGCGAGTTCATTTTAATATAACAGTACCCTTTACGGACCCGCCCGATAGCTCCCTCGCAGATTTGTTCTAAGGGGCAGACACAAATAAAAAGAAAAACATCCGTCGCGCCCGGGCGAGCCGCCGCCAGCTGAAGTTCTCGCTGTAGAAGAAGAGCACGCGCCGAGATGCGAGCCACCTCGTGAAAGGCGGATGCCACGTCAGCGGCAGCAGCGCGGTATGATGATCGCCATCCTAGCTGCCTTTGCCACATCAGCAGCAGCACAGACGTGCGAGGCACTCCGAACTGAGCAGAGGGCACTCGTCGAGGACGGCAGCGTCGAGGAGGCGCTGAATCTGTGCCATGCCGTGGTTGAAGTATGCCGCCAGGAATGGTGCGAGTACGCGGGTGAGGTGGACCTACAGGCGTTCTCCAACGGCGAGATGCGCGTGCGTTTGCACGAGGCGGTCTCCGCCGACATGGACGCCACCTTCCTCCCCTGCCGTGTCCGAGACCGTTGGAGCATCCCAACAGCGGACCGGTTGTGGGTGCACGGCTTCATTTTGGACGGCACCTTCATTGTAGTCAGTCACGGCGCGGCTGGAACAGGAACGCGGCTGATGTCCGTTTCGTCGTCAGCGGTTGCTGGCCGTCGCGTGCAGCAGGAGCCGACGTATACTCGCGGCCTCAAGAGCATGCTGGTGATTCCAGCCTGTCCCGCCGCCGGGTGCTCGTTTGACATTACCGGCTACGATGGCGACGTTGTCAAATATCTAAAGGCTGTCGTCGACTTTGCCAATGGCCATCTTTTTGACGCCTCGTGGGGGCTGCTGCAATTCGATGCGACAATCGTGCAGCCCGTCCTGCTCGCGGGGTACTCGCAGGCCGACTGCAGGAAGTGGGACACCAATCGCGACGGACCGCTGGGCTACAGCACCTTCCAGGCTGACCCGTCGGCGCTCGACATGCGGGCGTTTGCGCAAGTCGAGCAGGACTACGGCCTCGACTTCACAGACTACGACTTTTACGCTGTGGTGATGCCCTACTGCAGCGCGATAGGTTGGTCTGGCATCGGATGGGTAGGCCAGCCGGGCTTCGTGCTGAACCTACGGCGGGGGAGCTCTTCGAATCTCGATCCGGCCTTCGTTCACGAGCTGGGTCATAATCTCGGCCTCAATCACGGCGCCCGCTTCACCGGCGGGGCGCGTGGCCGAGAGATCGCAGAGACGACCTTTGCGGACAATGACTTCGAGCAAACGCCGGGGGGGTACTCCGAGTACGGGTCGGCAGTCACGGTGATGGGTCGCGGCCGCACTCCCGACGCGCACTACCTGCTGCCGGCGAAGCTCATCCTCGACTGGACACCGCCAGACTCGATCGTCGAGGTCAACCTGCCGGGAGCTTGCACGCCGTGCGGCCCCTACCTCCTTCAGCCGACCGACAGCGGCGTCCTCGGCCCGTCCCCGACGCTGGGACTGCGCATTGCGACCGAGATCTCGAGCCGGTACTTTTGGGTCGAGCAGCGCGAACTCCTCCCCGGCGGGCCTGCCATCGTCATAGCGTCCGCCTCCTTCTCATCCACCGCCGGTGGGGGCGGCATTGTGGGGCTGAGCACGATGGTGGACACGTTGCAAGGCTCGGCGAGCGGCGCGCAGCCCGCCGTAGGCCCTGGCAGCTCCGTCCAGCTGGACCTGAGCGCTGAGGGTGGCGCGTGGCCCCTCTCTGTGCAAGTTGGCAGCCGCTCGGCAGGCGGCTTGCTCGAGGTGACCCTCTCCTCTACCCCTCTGCCGCCGAGCCCTCCTCCGCCGCCGTGTCCTTTGGGATGCGGCTGTGGGTGCGCGGCCGGGCCCTGCGCAAAGCAGCTGAGCTTCAAGAACTCGAACTTCGAGCTGATTGAGGGCGAGGGAGGCTGCTGCAGCGGCCGATGTTCCTACTGTCGCCGCAGCGCCGGCTCTTGCGACCGCTACCTCCACTACTTCCCCGGCGACGTCTATGAACACACACCCGCAAGCACCGCGCCCTGCTTCACCGGTGGACGCCACCCCACCTGATCTCCCCAGCGTGGCGCCCTCCCCTCCTCACGC